CTCTCTCTCTCTCTCTCTCTCTCTCTCTCTCTCTCTCTCTCTCTCTCTCTCTCTCTCTCTCTCTCTCTGTGTCTGTCTGTCTCTCTCTCTCTCTCTCCACACTTAGCTTCAGGCTATTAACATTCGATACTTTTTTACAGTCCAAAAGTTGCAAAGCTAAATAGAAAAAAGACGAAACGAATCGAATGGCAAAAGAAGAAAAAGAATGCCTCACAAGGAACTGATGAATACTATTACCAGTTCTCTACTCTCGGTCCCTCCCTCTCCCAATTCTCCCACACGTCACGCTTTCACTCTTCCAGCCTGACATTTTTCCGGCATCAGCTCCGTGGCGTCGAATTCAGGAAGAACGTCATGCCCCCGCTCAAACAGTCCATATGATGCGTTTCCTAACTTTGGGCCTCGCCGCACCACACAGGAAACAAAAATCTAGCCACAGAAAATGGACTGATTCATCCGTTTAGCATACACAGTAGTGAATGTATTTTGCCACCTTCTGTGGGCAGATGCACATGTTTCTTTCTCGTTTCGTGTACCGTGCAGCGAGGGCCTTTATCCCCCTAGAAAGCATATTGACGTACTATCATTTGCTAGTTTGTCTCTCCCATTTCCTTACTTTTTCAACCGAGCTCGGGACGTAATTCAGGTCAGATACATCCAGCTCAGGCTGTAATTCCAGTCAGATGCATCCAGCAAAGTCCTCAAATTCGTCGCTCGCAGTCCTATCTATTAATCATGGTAATGCATGTGCTCCGGAGCTGTGGACACAGACATGCTCACACTTAGGACGTTTTCGACCGAGCTCTGGACGTATTTACAGCCAGGTACGTCCAGGTCAAGCTGTAATTCCGGTCAGATACATGCAGAAAAGTCCTTGTGTGAGTAATGCCCCCCTCAGTCTCCCGGATGCTCCTCACTCACTTCCTTCCTGCCACCAGGCGTGGGCTCAAGACATGCTCACCCTAGGACTTCGTCGACTGAGCTCTGGACGTAATTACAGCCAGATACATCCATGTCACACTGTAACTACGGTCAGATACATGCAGAAGAGTCCTCGTGTGAGCAATGTCCCCCTCACTCTCCTGCATGCTCTCCTCGTTTACTTCCTTCCTGCCACCAGGGGTGGACACAGGCATATGCATGCTCACACCGGGACTCTTTGGACTGAACTCTGTACGTAATTACGGCCTGATACGTCCAGGTCAGGCTGTAATTTCGGTCAGATGCATGCAGAAAAGTCCTTGTGTCAGTCGTGTGAGTAATGCCCCCCCTGCTCACTCTCCCCGATGCTCCTCACTCACTTCCTGCCACCAGGCACGATTCAAATCCGCGTGTCAGTTCCTCGCCGACCACATCCTTCCCGACAAACACGATTCCGTTCGTCCGTTTCTTGTCCTTTTCCCCACGACGGAGTGAGCTCTGGACGTAATTACAGCCAGATGCATCCAGGTCAGGCTGTAATTCCGGTCCGATAGATGCAGAAAAGTCCCGGTGTGAGTATATGCCCCCCTCACTCTCCCTGATGCTCCTCACTGACTCGCTTCCTGCCACACAGCACAACCAGAACCAGCGGCCTCGCTCAGTTGGTAAGGCACGCAAGTGGCATTCAGGAGGTCATGGGTTCAATCCCCATTGGCCTCATGTACCTTCCTGGACATGCTTGGCGCCCGCCACCTCGAGGTAGCCCATTGGTCTCTCCCCAATTGGCATAAAAAAGCAGTCTCTGCTAATGTTAGTAGGGGTAGGGGTAGGGGTAGGGGTAATCAGGGAGGTCCCTCATCGGCTGGCCCCTCAGATGATGCTTGGTCCCTCGGTCCCTCTGCTACCGGATGTCCCCTGGCCGGTGTCCCCCCCCCATTGGGGTCCCTGCAGGCAAGAAATAAAGGCCACCCTGGGCTGAAAAGGCCACCCGGTGTCAGATTCGACACAAAATTCAATGTACCTGGGCTGGTTAGTTCGACGATAATACCCTAAGGCCATCCATCGCCCTTGGGGGTGGAGGAGGGGCGGGGGTGGGGGGGAGGGGAAGGGGGAGGGGGAAAAAAAAAAACGTTTTTCAGATCCTTCCCAATAAGGAGAACTCTGTTCATCCGCTTCTCTCGTCCTTTCAGCCCGGAGTGACGTCTGGACGTAATTACGGCCATATGCATCCTGACGCTCCAGACTTACTTGCCTCCTGCCACCAGGCACGACCTGAATCCACGTGTCAGTTCCTCGTTGTTCAAATCTTTCCCAATAAAGACAATTCGGTTGGTCCGCTTCTCGTCCTTTCCCCAAGGTCGGTCCGGCGACCCTTCGAAAAGCGCATGCACGCCTTGAAATACGAATCGCTCATCGGCTCCTTTGATTGCCAGCACACCCTTCATCCGGTACAGGTCCTCGCTCCTCTCCTGGAGCAAGTCTCCCAACCAGTCATTAATCTTCTCTAAGTCGAGCTCCCCATCGCAAACTATACTAACCGATGTCACTCCAGGATCATGAACGTGGTCGTGATCGTGGTCATGGTGGTGATCGTGGTCATGGCCATGGGTGTCCTCGTGCTCCTCATGGCTATGGTGGTGGCTATGGTGATCGTGGGCTTCAGCGTCTCCTCCTTCGTGGTGGCTATGCGGCAAATCTCCGTTTCCTCCGTCTTCAGCTTTCTTCTTCCCTACACTACCCCCCTCCTCCTCTTCCTTCTTCTTTTTCTTCTTCTCCTCTAGCAATTCAGGTTGCACCTCCTTTTCTACTCTTTCAAGATCGAACCCTCCCACTCCTAGCACATAATCGATTTCCACAACACCATAATTAGTTGGTACCACCCTTGCCATGCCATTTATGCGTCGAATCCGTCTCCTCAAGACTTCCATCTCCTTCTCATTGACCAAATCCACCTTGTTCAGCACGATCCGATCTGCAAATGCAATCTGTTCCACCGCTTCGTTCACGACTCCGTCCGGTTTGACTTCGTCGATGTGTTGCGCTGCGTGCTTTGCATCCACGACGGTGACAACGCCGTCGAGCTTCGCATTCATCGCGATCTCGTCTTCGATGAAGAACGTCTGAATCACTGGCGACGGGTTCGCTAACCCCGTCGTTTCGATGACAATGTGATCAAAACGGTCTCTTTTGGTCCGTACAAGCTCCAAAATCATTCGTACGAGGTCCCCTCGCACCGTACAGCACAAGCAGCCATTATTGAGCATGACTATGTCCTCTGCTCCCATGCGCTTCGTCGCGACCAGGTCACCATCGATATCAACTTCACCATACTCGTTCTCGATGACCGCAATTTTCTTCCCGTGATCGGCTGTCAATATGTAATTCAACAGCGTCGTCTTCCCCGAGCCTAGGTACCCAGTAATCACCGTGACAGGGACACGAGTGTCCTCCTCCTTCTCCTTCTCCTCCTCCTCCTCCTCCTCCTCCTCCTCCTCTTTTTGCTGTTGCTCCTCCTGCTCTGCTCGCTCGACTTCCGTTGCTCTCGATCTTGCCACAAGGTGTCGAGATGCCCGCCGCAAGGTGTCGGTGTACCGACGACAATGCTTGCTGGTGTGTGGGTGGAGTTGGCCCTCACAAGAACGTGAACGTGTAACCCACCCACAAGATGGGTTCAGGGGTGAGCAGCAGATGCGATGTCCATGTCTGTGTTCATCTGCATTCCATGGGGTGGTCTTGACTACGCAGAGCTGGGCAGATCGACGAGAGTGAAGCGTAAGTGCACACGGTCGGCAAATCCTGAATGCTGCAGCAACTGACGACGAGCGTGCTCTGTGCAACACCGGGACGGCCGCTGCCAGCCCCAAAGCTGAAGCAGCAGAGGAAGAAAGCACCAGCCTTGAAGTCATCGCCATTGGATGCACAAACCGATATCCAATGACTGAGATGCAAATGCTGCTTTCCTCTTCACGTTCCCCTCCTCTCTCTCTCTCTCTCTCTCTCTCTCTCTCTCTCTCTCTCTCTCTCTCTCTCTCTCTCTCTCTCTCTCTCTCTCTGTGTCTGTGTCTCCCTCTGTCTCTGTCTCTCTACGAGGACCGTAAGCGCAGCAGCAGTGCCATCCCCACTCTTGGGGAAGCTACACCATAGGTATACGAGGGCGCAAGACTGCAAGTCCCTCTCTCAGCTGTCGAGCTTGATACTCCGAAGACACTTCGGCAATCTCGATATTAATGGCGCAGAAGAGCAGATGGAGCCCCGTCGTATATATCCCCCCCTGCAGAGAGCACGATCAAAAACATATGCGGAAACAAACAAAAAAATGAAGCAAACAGAGAAGCATTACAGAGGAGCAAAACGAGAAGCAAGTGGAGGGGGCAAAAAGAGGAGAAAACGGAGAAGCAAGCAAAGAGAGAGAAGAGAACAGAGTAAAGAGAGGAAACAAGCAAACAGAGGAGCAGGTGAACAGAGGAACAAGCAAACGAAGAAAAACGCAAAGAAACGCACAGAGAAGCAAACAAGACGAGCAAGCACACAGAAGAACAAGCAAATAGAGGGAAAATGCAAAAGGAGGAAGACGCAAAAGGAGGAGCAAACAGAGGCACAGGCAAAGAGAGGAACGGGCAAAAAGAGGAACAAGCAAACAGAGGAGCACGCGACGAGGCGCAAACAGAGAAGCAGACAGAGAGACAACCAAACAGAACGGCAAACAGAGATACAAGCAGACAGAGAATCAAACAGAGAGACAACCAAACACAGAAGCAAACAAAGAAGCAAACAGAGAAGCAAACAAAGAAGCAAACAGAGAAGCAAACAGAGAAGCAAACAGAGAGGCAAGCAAACAGAAGGACAGCCAAACAGAGAGGCAAGCAAACAGAGAGACAACCAAGCAAAGAAGCAAACAGAGAATCAAACAGAGAGACAAGCAAACAGAGAGAATCAAACAGAGAGACAAGCAAACAGAGAGAATCAAACAGAGCAGCAAACAGAGCAGCAAACAGAGCAGCAAACAGAGCAGCAAACAGAGCAGCAAACAGAGATACAAGCAGACGGAGAATCAAACAGAGAGACAACCAAACAGAGAAGCAAACAGAGAGGCAAGCAAACAGAGAAGCAAACAGAGAAGCAAACAGAGAGGCAAGCAAACAGAGAGGCAAGCAAACAGAGAGGCAAGCAAACAGAGAGGCAAGCAAACAGAGAGGCAAGCAAACAGAGAGGCAAGCAAACAGAGAAGCAAACAGAGA